CTAAATCGGAGCCGGCTTCAGATGTTGTTCATCGTCATCGCTTCCGCCCTGCTCTACCAGTCATGGGGTAAGCCATCGAATAAAGTCGACAAAAAAACATCATTTAATTAATGAAAAATCCGTTTTGACGGTAAGTTCAGCAACCGATATCTTGGAACGCTCCGAAAACATCACAAAACTTTCCTTCCAAACCGATAAAATACGGCTCCCAATCCCTCAAAATCCCCCCGCTTCAGTGGAATCAACATGCCGCCTCCTGCTGTTCTTCTCCGCCTCGCTGCAGCCCTGGATGATGTCGCGCAAATTCGAGCTGTACCCGTGGCTTTTCATGAAAGAGGGCACCTACAACACGGCCTACTGCCAAACGGCCATCATCGTAAGTGGAACCCCCGCAAAAAAACCTGGCCTTCAGAATCAGCTCTGCTTCCCGCTGGTCTTCTACCTTGCCGTGTTCGGGCTGATGCGGCAGTGGCGTGAAGCCCTGACGGGGAGGACGATGGCACAAGGGGCGCTCGATGTCTTTAAAATTGAGGTTCGGCCATATTGGCGTATCAAAAATCTTGTTCAGCCACAACCGCTCGCTGCCGCCGTGGCGGTAATTGAGACGCAACGGCCAATTCCACCCCAACAACCCGTCGTTATCGACCCGCCACCGCCGTACCAACAGGCCATCCAGCTCGAGAATCCGGCGCCGGTGGGTTTATTGTCGAAGCCGAGCTGAACTTGCCACAATCAGTGGTTCTTCTATTTTATCGGGGGTACCAGGGAAAACCAATTTTTCACAATAATCATGCACGGGCTTATAACAACATATAAACCATTTTTAGGGCATTTTACCCAGTTTTTAAATATAAAAAGCTCATAAAAATTTCGAAAACGTTTGACTTTTTAGTAAAAATTGTATGAAAAACGACAAAAAGGTCAACATTTTTCAAAATATTTTTTTGTAACGTTCTAGCAAACAAAAACTGCGAAAACCTTATAAAAATACACTTTGTTAACAAGTAGGCGGAAAACAAAATATAGTTTCCCCCTGCTAACAGTCCAGTACCGTAGTCCCGTATTTTCCACCGGATGTTGTGGCGAACTTTTCCTATGATCCCATGGGGTCGGTTAATGAGATCAAAGGTTTTTTTTGACAGCACTGTAGGCGGTTTTCGCCTTCAAAAATTGTCGGGGTTTTGGCCGAAAAGCTGGAACGGCAAAAAATGAGGAAAAACTAAAACGTTTATAAGGCCTTAAAAGACTTTATAGGGATACCCAACCTTTTCGGGGCTCAAAAAGCAAGACCATGACGCGGGCGGGGGTCGAACCCGGGACCCCGCGGTCAAGACCTGGATGATATCCATTAGGCCATAGTGGCAAGCCACTGATCGAGATGAGGATGCCACAAGAGGGAAAGGGCCCGAATTCTGTGCGGCACTGGGCATCCATTACCGCACAAAATTCGCACGCCATTTGTACTCCCCGGAATACATAACTATATATTTGCCGCCAAAACATTGGGTATCCCTTTAAAGTTAAAAATTTTTGAGTTATAGGAAAAAGACTACTAAAATGCACTGAATTTATTACGACATTTTAGGGCTAAGAAATCACACTTGAAAACCTGTGGTCTGGCTAGAAACCTAATGATTTTTCAGAACAACATTGCCCCACCGGCGCCCTCCTACAATCAACCGGCACCGGGCTACACGCCGCGACCCGAGCCCCTCCAGTGCCACGACCCGCAGTGGCTACACCATAATGGCCTTCCGCCGGATTACTATTCAAATCCAAGCCAACCCGCACAACTGGCCACTCGTGCCGACGTTCAGGTAGAAGAGTGACTCTATAGACAAAAACTTGAGCGTGTGATTTCGGGAGCATAACCCACGGAAGGTGAAATCAAGCAAAAAAAACCCATTGTTTTATAGCGCACCGGGCTATTTGGCCAATTAGGCGACCAATACCCGATGATCATCGACGAAGAGATGATTCCCGGCGCTGCCCCGGTTGCCATGTTTCCGCCACGGCCAACCATGCACTCACTGAATACAGCATCCCCCTCAACCTCCCAAATGCTCGAGATGGTAACAAAGCCTCCTAAATCTAACTGTTTTCCATCTAGGCGCCAACCAGCTCCACCATCGCTACACTGGCCAGCCGCCAACCCCAAAAGCCGCTATACCCACGGCAATCCGAGTCGACGTCCATCAGCGTCCGCGTCATGAGCGCCCCGGCGATGCGCAGCACCAAGGCCGCTCTCGCCCCGCCCATGCCCGAGATCAAAGAATGAAACATCGGAAAACGAATGTATTATTTTATGTACTTTCCCGGCTTGATTCACCAGATGATTTGAAGGTGCCAACAATAAAAGCAGCAACAATTCAGAAAAAATCGTCAATTTCCTACGCTAAAAATAATTGAAAAACACGGTAAGAAAGCACAATCATAAATGTGGACGGGTTTTCTTTGCAAGTATCTGACAACAAAATGTACGGGGCTGTTTAACAGTATATTTTCCAAACTAAAACAAATCCTGGTAATAATAATGCCACGGTTATGACTGAAAGAGGTCGTCCTAGCGATACCAACGGCTTACAAAACCGCATCTGATGATTATAAGAAGTTCCTTTTTCGTTGCTTGAAAAAACAAATGCGGTTCCTGTTGGCTACTTTGTAGAAATGGTATCTCGGAGGGTAAACTAAATTTCGTATCATTCGAACCGCAAAATTCTACTCTAGTACAACCCTTGAGTTTTCGATAGTTTTACTTCATATTTTCTTTTTAATCTTTCTTGTACTTTTACTTTTTCCTGGTGCTACACCGGGCTACTATGCACATTTTCCTTCCGTGACCAGCATCGTAGCTGATCGCCATTTTTCGCTGTTTTATTTTCTTTCCATTTTTCGACATCTTTTTCCTTTTTGGATGCACTTTCCACCTTTTTTTCTATACATTTCTCGTTTTTTTTAGCATGACTGACGACGAAGACGAATGCCGACAGCACTCGGCGCAGGACGAGCCGTGGTCCCACTACAAGTGCGTCGACACCTTCCCCGAGGAGATGGAATGGCTGAAGACTCAACTAAAGAAAACAGTCCCGGATGAGGTTGACATCTGCTTCCTTTTTAATCACTGCCTTCAGGTCCAAGACATCCTTCCCTCGTTGGCGCTTGACTTCTCGCATCTGAAACTGCACACCATTCCCGACGAGTCCCACAAGAGAGCGGAGAACACGGAAATGGTTGGAGTTTTATATCCCTGCTGATTTGCGTTTTAGAGCGGCACTTACGGTGAAAAGTTGGTCGGCTTTTCGGCTGGCTACCCGGATCCGGAGGAGTCGAAAAGCGCAGAAGCTGCCGGGCAATTGGTCGAAAAATTTGCGAGGTATTCTGCTTTTTTAATGGCACCTTCTAATTTAGCCAATTCTTCTCACTTCCTCAACACGACGCGGTGCGGCGCAAAGTATTCCTTGGCATCCAGGTATCATAATTTAGTACTGTTCAAATTTCTTTAGAAATCTGCTGCCGAGTTGACTGACAGTTCGAGCGGAGCCCGAGAACCGGACGAACATTTCGAGTTGGCCGTTAGAGCACACGAATATAGGGTCCGTGGTCGTCGCTTCACAATTTCTTGCTTTAGATTCTGGTGGGTCGCGGCGGCGAGGCAACGTATCTGGCAGCCAATGCGGTGGGCACCTCGCTGATTCTGGACAATCGGTCTTTACCGAAGGTGGAGGAGTGTGTGAAAAGAACCGTTCTACATGCCGAAATTCAACGCCGCTATCAAATCAAGGTATGCACTTCTTTTCCATCAACCATTGAATTCTAGTTCGGTCCCAACAGCGGTCCCCCCTACACAATGGCTCATTTTGCGCACCCGGAGGCCGCCGGCGAATATTCACGAAGACAGGAGCCATTCTCCACATACAAGTGTCCGCCGGAACTCTTGCCGGGCCACGAGCAGACACCCGAAATCGAGACCGAACTTTCTCTACATTTGCGCTGGCCCCGAATCGAGATGGAAGACACCTGCACCGTGGATGTATAATTTAGCGCACCATTCGTTGTATCCCTGCTTTTAGCTCAAGGACGCGAAGTTCTCCTACTACGCATGTGACCTGCTGCAGGTGGCAAATGTGACCGCAAACCCTCGCCGCAGATTGATCGGAGAAACCAGGGTATGCAACAGGATTTCCGCTCACTTCACCGACACACTATTCCTTAACATAGGTGTCGGCGAAATCATCGGAAATTGCGGACCACATCATTTGCTTTCTCTTTCAGATCAAAGTTTCCGGTCTCCCAAAGACCATCAGAACAGGAAGGAGCTCTGCACGTGGGTGAAGTCGATCTTGGATTATGGCGGGATCGAGTTCGACGAAGTGTCCGCGAATTGCAAGCCAGTACAATGCCTAACGTAAATCCCATGTCTTTATTTTACATTTCCGTTTAGCGTTCCCGGCACGAAGGAGCGCATCGAGAGACTGTTGACCAGGGTCATTTTGGGCCACGCCATTGAGCTGGGCTTTTGGACTGACGCTGTCCCGTTGGACCCAATGTCTTACTTCGAGGTACTATTTCTGGTTTTCCGGAATTTTTGTTTCAGTATGCCATGGCCGAATCCTTTCCCTGGTCGTATCGATGGAGCTCCAGCGCTCATTTCAATGAAGTGCAGGTATGCAGTTCTCCTTCTACACAAAAGGCTCTCTAGGTGATTTTCGACAAAAACAACAAGCTGGACACACAAGAATTTCTTGCTCAAATGGTCGTGAACGATGTCTGGCTGCGGTTCCCGCCTGCGCTGAATGGACGCGCCCCTCTCGAACATTTTGCCCAGTACACGACAGGATTATGGGTGCCGTCCGAGCTCAGACGGTTGCTCCAGCCGGAATTGGAAGCGTTCAATCAGAGGTATTTATTAATCTTATGGCATCATCGAGCCATCTAGGCCATCGGAACATCGAGGCTACTGGCTTAGGGTGTCGGACTCTACCGACCTTGCTCACCTTCGGATGGATCTCCTCAAAGTCTCCGGCTGGCCGTTGGCGTACGTGTCTTGCTTGATGCGTTTAATCTTTTTTTGTTTAGAAATGTGGAAGCAGCACATGATCAGCTCGTCGCATTGTTCGCCCCAACCAGTTACAGCGTACGCGAAGCTGACCAAGATTGGCTGCTGCATGGGTTTGGCAATATTTGATTTGATATCCTTTGTTTAGGTTTGGCGCGACCCTTCTACAACAGAAATTGGACCGTTTCCGCGAAGAAAGCAACGCCAGATTCCTCATTGATGTCGACGCGACGCGCATGGAGTTCAATATTTTTGCCGGAGAAGCAGCAACCGTGCAGATAGTGGCTCTTATTGAGGCGTCCGTAGTCGATAGGTACTATCTACCCGCCGTTTTATTTCATTTGATTTAGGGATCTTGTCGCCATCACTGCAACCTTTGCCCTCGGCCAGAAGCCATACTTTGATGATTTCTACGAGCTGGTTCGGTGCTACGAAGGCTACAAGCAAAGTATGCGCAATTTTGAGCGTCAAAATTTTCTTATTTCAGGCGACGGGCATCGCACCGCCGAATCCTTGCCGTTTTATGCGAGCACTGCGCCACAGACACTGGAATTCCACGGCACCTGGCAGCAATATCGAATGGCGGTGGCCTCCTGGCCAAACTTCGTGACGTGGTAGCTATTATTTGCTATCCCGACTGTGTTCTAGGCTCTCGAGTATTTCAAGCAATGCTGTGATGGTTTGCCGTCTCCACCGCCCTCCACTGCAGTTTGTCCGATCTGCCTGCACCCTACTAGGAGCGACTGCTACAAGTTGAAGGGATGTGGCCATGTGTTCTGCCGGATTTGTCTCAATCGACAGGTATGATGTTTGTATCCTATCTTATCCGGCCTCCTTCTCAGGTGCTCACCTGCGAGACCAGCCGCGAGAAGGTTCCTTTTGCTTGTGCGGCATGCGAAGAGCCCTTCCGCCCCGTTGATATCCAGGTACAGATCCCATGGAAATAATTTTTTTGTTTTTAGCGCTTATTGCTCGGCTACAACTTGGGATACGGCGAGGGATTTCATGCGTGGTGGCTGGATGCGGAGAAGCTGCGGAACTTTACGAATGCGCGCCTCAACAACTTGCGGACGCTGGCCGACCGCCCCTTCTTTGCTGCCTGACGCCAGATTGTGACGGAATGTTTGAGGTACGAACTAGAGTTGGAGAAAATAGATTTGTTTAGCCATCGCACTGGTCGTCTACCGTTTTCGTATGCGGAAAGTGCCGTCGCCGACACTGTCGCACTTGTGGGCTCGACGATCACGGCACAACGAGCTGTCAACAAGAAAATGCGTTGCGCAGTGAGTGGCTTTATCCGCTTACCAACATTACAATCTAGATGACGCTTCATTCTCGCTACTTGCCTACCAGGAAAAATGTGGCCTAGACATGGTTCGCGAATGCCCAAGAAGAGGTTGCCAAGCAATCATTGAGAAGATCGTCGGCTGCCATCACATGCACTGCCCAGAATGCTCGATCCACTTCTGTTGGATGTGCTATTACATGGTGAGCGGATTTGTGGTGTTTTATTACGATTTCAGGATGACAAGTTCGCGGAGATCTACAAACACTTGTCCGACGTTCACTCGAAGTGGACAGAGAGACCGTTCGTTTTCGCAGAGGACGGCCGGCTTTTGGGTAAGGCTGACGCTCTATCATCTAACTCCTTTTCCAGAACACCCGCCCGACGATGAACGTGAATGGCACGCCGCGATGGAAGCAGTCTGGGGCATCTGATCGGACGCCCCTCGAAATAATAAAATGAAAAATGCATTGATATTAGCATTATTATTGGTTCGCTTGTTTTGTTTTAATTGCATGGGTGTTGATATTGTTGTTGTTACTGGATAAATCGTTGCTTGGGTCTACAAGGGTTTTACTAACAGGCTACGAATCAACTTTCCGGATTTGATTGCGAATCAGCGCCCAAAGACTGCTCTCGGGATGGCGAAGAATGAGCCCGGCACCACGGAACCCATCCATCCGGCGTTATTCTGGTTCTGAAAGGGTTGGAAGTGAAGTGGTGACCTAGATTTTAAGGTACTGGACTGTTAGCGGGGGGGGGGGCAGCTAATGTAGAATTGTTTGCCCGTTTTTGGTCATTTTTCATAACCTTTTTTACCAAGAAATGCGCAATTTTTATAGGTTTTTATAAGCTTTTTATATCTAAAAAAAATGTAAATGGTATTGTATTTGCTTATGACCGTGCAGGATTACTGGGAAAAAGTAGTTTCCCCCTGCTAACAGTCCAGTACCGAGCTTTAAACTCACCGCTGGGCGGACCTCAGGTCCGGAGTCTCGGTAGTTGTTATAATTGTTATTCTGGAAATGGAAACGCGCTAGTCGGGGTCCTCATACGGCTTACCTGGTAATATGCCATGGATGTGAACACCATCATGGCAAGGATCATCAGCGTTTTCAAGAATGCCATGTCGAAGCGTGAAGAATGACTGATTCCGCAGCATCCACTCGAGCATTATATCCCACTTCGACAACCTCTCGACAAATAAGCCCCACAATAACGACAATGCAGCGCCGCCTCAATAACGATATTTGCTAAAAACCTTTCGCCACGTGAAGACCCCTACAACATTCAACGATGTTTTTTGACTTGTGCACGTTGCGTACGTAGAATAGCTGGTCGTGAATTATGGCGGTCGGAAAAGAAAGGAGCAGACGCTTTTTGGTCGCTAAAAAATTGGACTCGCCGTCTGCCATTTGATCTGATCGCCAGCGTAATTAATTTTCGGGATGGACTGGGAGGGGGAGAATGAATTAGGGGCGTTGGGGGCGGCCGACTACAGCGTTCGCTGTTTTTCTGGTAATGGGCGTGGCCCTTGAGCACTAATGGAATTCTTTAAGGTTTTGAATGCTTGATCGGGCCACGATGTCTGTCAGCTCGCACGGGTTCCTGGCGCGTTCCATGGATGTTGACAATAGCGGGGCGGGATCGCCTGGAGGCGTCTCAAACAAAGCCGAAAACGGGAAATCGTGTGATTGACCGCCGCCCACTCGCCATTACGCAAACATTCGCCAGGAATAGGTTTTTCTGGTGTTTTTTGAATTTTAATAGGGATCGGGCTGAAAAGCCACTTCGCGACTTTTCAACCCTGCCCCGTCTGACCCCGTTTTATCCTTGACTTTGCATAATTTTCCTGAATTCAGATGACAAAAAATGAAGAAAAACCACCTGTTGAGCCCATTGATATAGTCGAATCCCTACTCCGGTCTACGCTAATTGTTCCCAACAAGGAGGTTTTACAAAACTTAAATTTAATGTCGAGAATAGGTGATTTTGTTAAATCTGATATGCGTGCAGTCATCTCCAGGCCATTACGCATCTAATGGGGTACCAGGGCTGAGTGCCGCTTCGCGACTTTTCAACCCCGGCCCCGTCTAACCCGCAATATTCTTCACTCGCATACGTCTCACGAATCCCGATAAGAAAATGGAAAATGGCACTCTTACCTGATTATATAGGCTACCCCCACTCCCGGTGCATGCTAATTGTTTACTAACAAAGAGGGTGCTCGAAATTTTGGCAAAAAATGAGATTTTGTGTTGAAAACAATTAATTTTGTAAAAATCTGGAGAAGCGCAGTCATCCCAGAGCCATTACGCCCCTAATGACGTATCATACATAACTTAAAGCTTCCCTATCGAGATATTCTCCGGACATGGTGACGGAAGTTGCATGCAAAGTGGCACACACACACACACAGACACTACTTTTTATATAATAGGATCATACATATGCAAAGTGGCACACACACAGACACTATTTTTATATATAGTAGGATACCTTACCTAGGATTCTACCGCTAACTCCCCCTGCTAATAGTTTGCATCCTGAAATACTAGGTTTTGAATTTTTTGGCCCTCGTTCGGGCTGATATGGCTAAATGAATACAAACCACGGCCAAACTTCTTTGCGCCACGTGAAAGCCCGCATTCTAACCTGCAGCTGTCTGGGATGCGTCGCCTGATCTTTCGACCGTCCACAATGTCATTGTACGCGCCTTTTTCTCCGGCACCTAGCCACTCCCTCAACCCGGGATGGCCTTGGGAAAATCGATGGATCTCTTCCTCCCGAAACGATCACCGCGAAAGGACAGTGAGGGGAGCTGGGATTCGGCTCTGTTTTCGGCCCTCAGCCGCACTCCCTTTTTATTTTGTCGCGATGACGATGGGGGCCTTTGGCGGGGGAAGACGCACCTTGACCGGTCTTCGCTTAGGGTTTTCGGATTGAGCTTTCCCCTGTTTTACTAAAATCGTAATTAGTCTCAATTCTAAGCTCACAATACATCATTTCTTGACATTTTTGGCCAAAAACCAATTTTTCCGTATTTTTTATGATTTTGAAAATTTTTTATTTAATTTTTTTTTTTGAAGTTTAGATCTGAGAATTATGGTCAAAAATATTTGCTTTCAGCAACGAGGCGTAAGGGACCCTGGAGATAAAGTTTAAGTTTACGCATTTTTGTGGTTTTTCGTAACTAGGGGAAGCATAATCTTGGGATTTAATTTGTGGTATTTCTGAATTTTCTATCACTTATCACCCAAGGTTTTGCAGATTTCGGAGAAAATGCGCCCGTCGTTTCGGGGAATTTAAATGGGCATACCTACCAGGGCGGGGCGCTGACTCGCCGAATTCGGCCTTGGCTCCTCGGGCAAATCTCTTCGATTCTCCCCCCAAAATCGTCCATCGACAACAATACCTCCTCGTCGCGTACCCGCGTGTTGATATTTTCGCAGGAAATCTTTTTTGGTCAAACCGAACCCCCGTGTCGGCTCCATATTTGGCGTATCGCACCTCAGCGGCCCCATTACGCAGATGAGCCAATAAAAATTTGGGGTCGAAAACAAGGGCGG